AGTTTTGACCGGTAAAGGGCATCAAATGACATCACTACAGTGATTCTGTCCGGGAGGTCCTGAATTCAAGTCCCGACGATGGCATGATTTTCCACACTGGTTTGCCAGCTAGTTCGAATTCCGACGCTGTCTGGAGGAGAATTACAGCGGCCGGCTGCTCTGATCGGTAGCTTTCTTTGGTTTCTCCGATCCACACCAAGCGAATGCTGGAGTAGTACACTAACAAACGGGCAACGGACCACGCGCGACCTTTCATTCCCCTTCCTTGTCCTATCTTCATCCCTTACTTACACACACTTACCCTCACATGCGCTACACCATTCCACTGGTCGGGCTGGGGCGGTGCCGGAATGGTGGGAGATACCTGGTTGGGGAAAATCCCTGCCAAAGGCGTACGTTGGTACCGGATCTCGCCATCCTCCCGGGGAGGTTCACCGCCATATCCCGCGATGAAAACAAGTACCACACTTACGGCACTAATGAATTTGACAGTTGGCGCTCCCGGGATCACTAATCAATTAACCAAACATTTTGATTGATTGAATCTTAGTTCCCGAACGGTTACCAACCAGTCTGCGTGGTGAAGTAGATTCTTTGCAAGTAGTAAACAAATGTGGAACACATTAAAGATACTTAAATTCTTAGATTCAATATATTCGCCATTCTCCGCAAAGAAATTATTGTGGGAAGATGCATCTTTTCAGTTTCCACGACAGCCGTACCCACAGAGGCGATCCAAGGTGTTGAACCCTGCCTCTGCTCGCCCCGAAATACGTTGGTCACTTGTTTCAAACATTAAACAATATTTTATGATTAGGAATTTCTTAAAATTTTTAGACGAAGGTGTGTTATTGTTGTGAAAAGGAAACTCTGTAATTTACAATAATGCGAATTATTAGATTTTTTCTTCTCTCATTTTCCTTGTCTTATTAGATGGCTGCATTATGATACAACTCCATTAAGGTACAGGAGTTTGACCCATCACAGAGTTTACAATTGAGAAGTAATTGGTCGTTGTTATATTAAATGCTTTGTTCAATTCAACACAGTCTGAAGGGCAGTGGCATTAATTCGCACATGCCTTCTCTATACAAAACTCTGAAGCTGCCTTGTTTGTACTAATGTACTAATTGTACTAATTCTTAACGAATGCCACCTGGTATACGTTGATGATTGACCATTACATGGCAGTAGCAGAACACTGCATGCCAGCAGCCAAGCAACAGTTCAAGGTTAAACTTTAACTTATAATACTTAATATTAATCGAATAAATAGTACTCTATGAAATTCGATGTGGTGGGTACATGGTGGTATGAAGTGATATTGGGATACGAGCAAGCGAAAATATTCTTAAGAGAGTATCAATTCATCATTTTATCATTGTTTCATAATGTACTATTATTATTATTTTACATTACTCCCATTCCCTTGCCCCAATATAAATGTGGTACGCCTTTGGTTTCTACTACAAATTGCTTTCTTGGTTTCTACTACAAACTGTCATGCGCTACAAATTGTTTGTTTTCGCAAGTTTCGACTGAGTTCTGACTCACAATTTCCAACCATTGTACACCCCGAAGAAGTTTGTCTTCGCATTCAAGAGCAAAAC